AACGACTTTGAGATGGAATAGAGGATCATCACCAAAAACCCAAAAATCTCTCAAATCTAGCTACTACTCGTTAAAAGTGTAAGAACTGCCAGGTTATGTGAGGGCACACAGCGCTGAGACTTCCAACCGTTTCGCATACCATAATTCACTCAAAATCCTTATTTCGCACATGATCTGCCATCGGCATCTGTTTAAGAAGATAGTATGATAGTTTTACTAAGCGAGCAAAAGAGTGAGCCAAGTAAACGCTTTTCAAGCAACCTAAGTTTATAGTGCTGTAGGTTGAACAGCCATGTTTTTCATCTACTCAAAATCAATACGCTATACAAAACCCATGAAAGCGTGGCATAACTTCTAGTAAAGTAAATAGAGGACATTCCTTGAACAAATCGCATTCGAATGCATTTTAAATCAATATTTATCATCTGCTGCTTGTGCAAGCATTCACAACTTGACAATTCAGATTTCCGTTCACCAATTTGCATTTGAACAAACATTCACCTATTTACACAATAACGACCAACAATCGACGACTACAGACGTCTATAAATACACATACAACAACAATGACCGGTAGATCATGAGGGGCATAGTCACAATGATAACCAAAGAAAACTGTGCCTAATATATCACGTCGACCGTCGTGAATCAGATGAGCTAGACGTGCTTTCGGAATCCGAATCACTGCTACTACTTTCCATATCCGTGTCACTATCACCTGAAATATATAACATGAATGTACAGATGCCTCAGACACTGACAACGCTACATCCTACACATCTAAATAATGAAAATTCGTTGTTCCCTCTTATATATACTACCTCAGATTCGCAAATGAACATTTTAAGAGATATGAGAGATCCAAATATTCCTCTCAGGCGTCGCAAAAAATAAGGACCAGACGCTGCGAAAGGAAAAGGTGTCTCTGATGACACAATGCGACCCTAATAGAACCAATTTCAATGTCACATCCAAGACGGCGACCAACAGAGATAGCCATTTAGATTCCACTACAGGTTTTAATTGAAATCTTCTGATACGCGCTCCAAGAGGCAATGAAAGGCACCTTTCCTCTTATCCTTTCACACTGTGGCGTAATGAAAAGGAATAACGGTTTATCAATGACTGTGCGCCACCAACTCTTTACCCCTTTACCTCTGAAAAATGCACTGAACCGACTAGAACCGAAAATCTTGAGATAACAAACACTCTTCCAACGATATTTCGCCTTAGAGTTTTTTGAAGAAAAACCCAAACCAGAATAGATAATATCGTAAAAAGGTACATAAAAAGAGAATCACAGCAGATTTCCGCATTCGCAGAATCGGAACCTACACATTTCATTCATTTGAAGTAGCACAAAGAAAAAAGGAGGGAAAGTAACTGTGTTATATGTAGACAGTTTGATGAGACGTGGCTGCCCAATTAGATATAACGCAGAAGATGGCAATGTAGAAAAGGAACTATCAAATCACCTTCTCGGACTCTGTCATTTGGTTCGTTATCTGATTCATCACCTCCTGCACGCTCTTTATCTCGGTCGTCAGTCACAGCTTGTGCTTCCTGAAAACAATGTGGAATAAAAGTTAATCGAAAGCAGCTAGAGTGAACATACTTTTGCCATTTGCTCTCGCTGCTGCTTCCATCGTGCTGCTGCTTCTAACAGTTTGAATGATCCTTTCGCGGCTAAAATAAATGGCATAACATATACGAAGTTGAAAACGACAAACTTGTAGCGGAACTGCTCTAACGGTCCAAAGACAATGACAAAGAAACAGCTTATAAGAGCCAAAGTCTATATACATGCACCCTTGGCTACTGATAATGTTACCTTGGTCCTGCGGGAAGATATAGTCATAGTATTCTTCCCATCCAGCGTCGACACCATCCTCTGTTTGAATCTGCCGACGTTTCTTTACTCGGCGTGGCATCATGTTCTCCACCCTAAACAAAATGAAAAATGTTGTAAATAAACCACACTGATTCATGGAAACAACACAACCGATCACTTACTTTTGAATAGCATTAATATCACCAATTTTTTTCTCTGCCTCCAGCCATGCCTCTAACAGCATCAAACGCTCCTCCTTCTCTGCGTTCTCTAGCGCTCGATTTGCGCGCTCGTATACCTATAAAAACTCCTTTAATAAAAAGGACAAATTCAATTTAAAGCAGTTCGCAGCGCTAACCTTTCTGGCTCCGTCAACGTTCCCAATAAACAACTCGAACTCTGCTAACGAGATCCAAACCTGGAAGGAAAGAAAGAAGGATAAATAAAATGGCACATCGAATATCAGTATTTGTTCCGAACCTTTATGTGGTTCGTACGCTGCAGTAACGCCTCGTAGAGATCGCGTGCTTTCTCGTACTCTTCTGCATTGATTTCGAAGTCAATGTAAGCCTTCCACAGAAATCTATATAAAACACAATGATAAAAAATGAACACAAGGAAACATTGAAATGTGTGAAAAACCCAAGAAAACAAGAAGAAGAAGATTCAGAGGTTGCTGCGGAATATATTCCGAAAAGTCAAATCGAGAAGAAAAGCGCTAGAATGTATCTACAGCGAAATCTAAACTACTCCAACAGCCAAAAAAAGGAGAGGAGCATCAAAAAAGCGAAAATAGCGAAGAGGAAACTATACCTCAGGCATATCCAACGCCGGCTGCTGAACAGCAACATCGAAAATAGCTCTAGCACGTTCTACATCACCAAGGAGCGTTTCGAGTTCGGCGAACTAAAAAATGCTCGTCTTAGCTACACTTTTTCTAAGTCGAATACAAGAGAATTTACGAAGTCCAGTTTCTGAGATTTAGGCAAGTCTCAAGCTGAAAAAGTGACGAAGAACTTAAAGTTCACTAAGAAATCAATCTCAATCTGACAGTCCTAACTGAGTCAATAAAAAGAAATGAACATACTCTGGTAACTTACTTTAATCCATGTATTGCTGTTCTCCGATGAATATTCAAGGAACTTTTCATATAATTTCCGACATCGATCGAATTCTCGTAATTGTAACTCGAGATCAATATATGCTCGGAAGAGCTTCTCTTTTGGACATTTTCCTATGGATACCCCCTAAAAAAGAAAACCTACAGTAAAAATCCACCAAGTACTCTATGAATTCAATACACTCAAAAGTCAGAATAATACGACAACAAAATGGATCTGAAATAAAACTGATCTCACCAAGATCTTTCTTGCTGCCGATAAATCCATTTGCCTTATTTCAAAGTGAGCAAACATAATCCAAATTTTAGCAAATGTGAAACTTTTTATGGGGGATTACATCGAGGCACGCCTTGTATACCTGAAAAAACAACATAGCCTTCATGGAAACCACCTCTGAGGGTGAGATAGGGTGCAACTGAGGTTAACTAGTTGAGATTAAGTCGCGCCTGGAAGCGATTGAATTCTTACCTGTCTCGTTCGTTCCACATCGTGAGCCGTTAATTCTTCATAAAGAGCATAATTGATCCATAAGTAAATATATCGTCGCCAATAGCGTTTCTCCTTCAAATATACAAGTGAAAGCTAATGATTGCCGTCAAGGTCGTATATGTAACACACAAACAGCCCAGTGCTGCATAACTCACTTCGTGCGGTGGAATATTTGCTATGGCACGTTCATACAGATCTTCAACTTCTTCT